ACTCTCTATCCCTCTTCCTTCCTCTCTGTAAAAAAAAAATCCATAAAATATATTTTAAAAAAATAAAATATGGTACAGCCTTTCAGCTCTGGCTGTTTTTCTACTTAAGAAGAAAAAAAGACTCTGATCCTTAAAAGTATGTGATACAGTGACTACTCTGACCAGCCATGGAACCTTGGAGGCATTCTAACACCATGGCTCTCAGTGTCTCCAGCTACAATATGAAGGGGTGGGACTAGCTCATGTCTAAAGTGTGCTTCAGATCTTTCAATTCTGAAAAACAAACAAAACTCCCCAACATCTCCTACCTACAAGGTCAACAGGAAACCATTCTGACCCTGAAAGTTTCAGCAAGAGCAAGTCAAAGTATCTTGTTAGTTAATAATTAGACACTTGTATTATTCTAACCGAAAACGACTCCCTAGAAACTTAACCATATTTTTGCACTCTAATTTTAGGAGAAATAGAAAGTATATTTAGGGATGAGCACACATTCAGACTTTATTGTATTCAATCTATGTACATATTCTCACCCTACGCATTGAAAACAATGGTTATAGAGCACTAAGAATACCTTAGCTATCAAGGGACGGTTTAAGACTACAGAGAGTTCATGCCACACTATATTGAAAACTTTTAATAAACTTTTAAAATGTTACTGATTTTTAGAGAGAGAGGGATATGGAGACAGAGATAGAAACATCAGTGAAAAAGTAACATCCATTGGCTGCTTCCTGCACACCCCCTACCGGGGATCGAGCCGGCAACCCCAGCATGGGCCCTGACCAGGAATCAAACCAGTGATCTTTTGGTGCATGGGTCAATGCTTAACCAACTGAGCCACACTGGCTGGGCTACATTATATTTAAATTTAAAGGCCCATGATAATATTAACTCGAAATGACAATAGGTGTGTGTTTTTTTTGTTTCCAAATATGCAAGTTACCTTATCAAATCAGAGTTGGCCAAAATAAAATTCTAGAAAGAACCTTTAGTGGCAAAAAATGTAAATGCTAAATCACAGCTTTGTCTTGAGATTACAAGTACTGGGCAAATAATACCACCATTTATTGAACACTTGCTACATTGCGGACTGACGTGGAGCTTTCTCTGGTTATAACAGATGTAAGAACGGCAGTTTTGAGTGTCATGGAGAGAACTGGAAGTCTTGTTTCACAGAGCCCCAACTACACTTTAAGGTTCATTTCAAGGAGTGTCTCCCCTGCCCCTGTGTATTCCTGAGCTCTAGGGTGGCATCTACCATAGCACAATTCCCTGCGCCTTTACCGCACCTCCCTGGAGTCCTGAACTGTGGTGGAAAAGCTCTGCAAGTCATTCTTCATTTTGGTTTCAGCTCAAAGCCCCTAATTTCAAGTTGGCAAAACAAAGACAGAAGAAGCAACACTAAAACAATGAAAAAAGAGGGGGGAAAAACCACGGCTCAATATCTTATAAAAATCTTCATGAATTCAGCGGCCTTTTAATTCAAACAAAGTACTTAACATCCATGATTCAGGAGGTATTTAATGAACAGCAAAAACACCTATTTACATGATTACAATTTGTATTTTTCAGTAATCTGCAGCATCCTCAGATCATCCAAGAGTCTTACGTGAATTTCTATGCATAGCACCACATCTGGTAACACTGGTGTTCATTTCTCAAAAGAGCTTGCTCCATTTTACCAATGCTTGCTACAGACCTAGGTCAGAGGACACAAGTACCTTCATACATTCTCATTACAGGTTTTCAGCCCTTCCTCCCACAGCCCATCGTCTCAGCACCCAGGCTTGGGTGACCCTCCACACAGGTTGCCAATTCTAGCGAAAACTAGCTGCTTAGTCCCTGTTCTTAGCAGGCTCCATGAGCTCAGGTTCTCCAACTAGAATGGCCCTACCGGTTTGGGTCAGTGGATAGAGCGTCAGCCTGCGGACTGAATGGTCTCGGGTTCGATTCTGGTCAAGGGCACGTTCCTTGGTTGCAGGCAACCAATCAATGTGTCTCTCTCACATCGATGTTTCTCTGTCTCTCTGTCTCTTCCCTTCCCTTCTGCTCTCTAAAAATCAATGGAAAAATATCTTCTGGTGAGGATTAACATCCCCCCCCCAAAAAAAAAGAATAAAAAAAGAAACTAGAATGCAAAAACCTCCTCATTTTTAAATTTTGGAAACATTGAATGTAAAAAAAAAAAAGAAAATCAAGATACTTGTAAATTACTGTCTGAGCCTGCCACCCCTCCCCACCCAACCCCCCAAAAAACAGGCTTTCTGCCCTGATTCCTCTTTTTGGTTGCAGCTCTTGGCTTCTGTTCTGGGCTCCTTTGAGAGCTGATGTTCAAGATGCACCTTCTAGCTCAGGTCCTGGAGCTGTGGGGAAGAAACCCAGAGATGAGAGTTGCTGGGTTCTTCCGATTTGCTTCACTGTCGCTGTGGACACCTCGTTGAGGCAAGCAGCATCTGTCCTTCGTCGTCTCCTTACTTGACGCCCGCTTACTTGACGCCCGCTCATTATTTGGCTATTTCCACCGGTTTCCAAGGATAGGAGAGTTTGCAGTAGCCACTCTAAAACTCTTCTGCACTCTCTCAGGAGCCATCCACTGCTGTGTCTTTTTCTTTGTGATCACTGAAACCATCAGGAAAACCAGTTCTCCGCGTTAGGCTCTGATGCCTCTAACCGAGGGAATGAAATCCTCAGGAAGACAGAGGCACTAAGACATTGCAAACATTTGAAATGGGGTCAAGGGATGGTTGCATTTGCAGCAATGGGAAGAGAGGGCTCCTCTGTTAAAAGGCTGCCTACCCATCACACATCTTTCCTAATTACCTAAGGAAAAGGAAGACGTGACTCAGTTTTCATTTGGCGGTAGATTTGCTCGGGGGCTGTGCAGCTTCAGAATTTAAATCTCTCCTCATTCATATGGGTGTAGAATATGCATCTTTAATTAAGTCTATAAACACTACCCTCCACGCAAAACTTTCTTGACTGCAGAGCTTTCTTACATTGATGTCGAGCGGGTATAAAGCCACATGAACTTGGATCACACAAAGAAACACACATGGGGAAGCCTTGCACTTTCTAGGAGGAATAGCCAAGGGCATGGTTGAAGCTTCAACACAAGATCAGGATCAAGAGCCCTGGGAGGGGGTATCATGCAGACTCTCCAGGCCAGCTGAAAGAGCACAAAAGGCCTACCATTGCGTATATCATGTATATACGAACTATTACATCATAGATATGTGAACCTTAAAGGTTACGGTGATTTTCAACAACATTGTGGGAGTTTTGTTCCTTTTTAAATTTGGTTTCTTTAAAAGATAAATGGAATGAGGGCTTTCCGAAATTTGGGGTAGTCCTCAAAGATCTTGAGGTAGAACCTAAGAGACGAGAAACAAATAATTAAAAACATAATCAAGCAGTGGTCAACGGTTGAGGTTTGCTGTATCTGAAATCTTTCTTATAAATCAGCCTACACTTACTCAGGGCCCAACTCTTCCCAAGGGCCATTGGTCCATCTTCTCCCTCCTGCATCCTACTCTTATCAATGTTGAAGCTTCGTGTGCTGAGAAATAAGTAAATCTTCCTATCCATGAGTATGGTATATGCTTCCATTTACTTGTATCTTCTTCTATTTCTTTCTTCAGTGTCTTATAATTTCCCGAGTACAGGTCTTTTACCTCCAAAATTGGAGGTATCATGCCTACCTGATATCAAACTATACTACAAGGCCATAGCAATCAAAGCAGCATGGTACTGACATAAAAACAGACATCTAGATCAATGGAACAGAATAGAGAGCCCAGAAATAAACCCATGCCTATTTGGCCAATTAATATTTGACAAAGGAGGCAAGAACATACAATGGGGTAAAGATAGTCTATTCAGTAAATGGTGTTGGGAAAATTGGACAGATACATGCAAAAAAAATAAAACTAGACCACTTTCTTATACCATATAAAAGAATAGACAGAATGGATTAAAGACTTAAATGTAAGACTCAAAACCATGAAACTCCCAGGAGAAAAATTAGGCAGTAAAATCTCAGACATTTCTCTTAATCACATTTTTTCTGACATACCTCCCCAGGCAATGGAAACAGAAGAAAAAATAAACACATGGAAAGACATCAAACCAAAAACTTTTTGCACAGCAGAGGAAACCATCAACAAAATGAAACAACAACCCACTGAATGGAAGAACATATTTGCCACTGATAGCAGCGAGAATAAACTCCGAGAGAATAAAGCCACTCAGTTTGTGGTCATCTGCTTTGGCAGCCCTAGGAGACCGATGCATCTTGTAAAAAGGCTTTATCCTTAAGTGACCTGGCTGTCTTTTGAAGCTGGTAGCGCTCAGGTTATAATCATGGTACACTCTGTGAAAGTACCTTAATTTGACCTGAGGGACAAATAGTAACAATACTCTCCCAGAGGTGGCTGGATGTTGGAGCTATGATTGGAGAGGTGTGGTGAGCGGCCTCACACAGAGCCCAGTTAGCCCTGTAAGAAAGACACCTCTTGCCCTCCCTCTGGGGATGCTGACATAAAAGCATCAGGGCTCAGTTTGGATTGTGTGGCTGCAACAGCTGGAACCCTCAGATGCAACTGCTGTCCTTCCTCTGACCAAGCCCACCTCAATCATGCTTCTCAGAGCCCCTCCGACTACCGGCTGACACCCTCTCCTCCCCATGTCCTCTTGGCCTCAGGTGGGCAACAGACCCTGCCTGGAGGGGGGAGAATGGTTACACTGACACTCTTACCATCTGGGGAGCCTCTGTTGCCCTCCACCCCCTCCCCAAGACTAGGAGATGGCATGAGTAGGTCTTGAGGAGAGCTATTGTTTCACTCATTTCTGACAGGTCTCTGCATAAATTCCATTCTGAGGAAAAGGACACATTCTTAGTGTAGCCTTCAAGACTATGAAATTAAGTAGCTGGACTAAAACGTCTAGGCAGGGTCCTGGTTCCAGGTCTGTTTCCATTCCTTCTGAATTCTCTCTCTCTCTCTCTCTCTCTCTCTCTCTCTCTCTCTCTCTCACACACACACACACACACACACACACACACACACACACACACACCACAGTCTTTCTCTTTCCTCCAAGTACAAAAGCCATTTTAGAGAAAGAATCTGAAATTTGCATTTAAAGCCTGATAACATCTTAGCATGTTACCCTTCCCCTGCCAGTGACACTTTTAACTCTCTGGTCCCCACCCCACCGAGGTGCAAGGGTTGGGAGGGAGGTGGGAGTTTGGGAAGCTTTAGGCTAGACCTACAGAGGGAAGGTTGTAGACCCCAGCAATTTGCTGGTATTTCCATGGATAGAACAGTCCTGAAATTGCACCACACAAGTAATTGCTTACCCACCTTCCCAGGAAGCCAGCAATGACCTTAGCTATGATTTATGGAGGGCGGGGATAGGGGAAGAAGGAGAGTACCCAAATAAGCCCTGGTATGACAGAGATTCGGGGACATGATCCCGGCGTCTCCAGGATTCTGTGCTAAAAGCCCATTAGGAGTGGAAAGCTATGTGGAGGCTGCCATGTGGGTTGACAAGTTTACCTATGATGGTGAAAAGCTCGCAGCCCAAGGAAACAAATTGAGAAAAATGCAAATGCAAGTGCTGGGAGGGACCAGGTGGCCAGGGCATAGCCGATCCATTCGATGATCTCACCAAGGAAATTGGCTCCAGAAACGTACGTGAACAAGCCCCCTGCGTGCAGAAGAATCAAAACGTCAACCGTCAGAGCTGGATCACTGTGACGTGAAAATCCCTCTGCTTTGCTCCAAAATGCTTAAGGGTGGCTAGATCAAACGTGGGCCTGGGGACTCTCTTCCCAGTCATCACAGCTTGCCGGAACCCACTTGGGGAGAAAGGAAAACAAAGCTAAGGCAGGGCAGCCTGCTGTCCTCAGAACATCCTGCAACCGTGAGGAGTGGCCCAGCTGCTCGGTGGGCTCCATCCAGATCTCTAACAACTGTGGGACCCCTGGCTCCCCACAGGACAAGGATGAGGGACAGGAGGTCTAGGTTTTGTTTCATTCTATTAAGTAGTGATTCCAGGCCACCTTCTCACTCCTTCCCTGCACACCCCCACTGCAGGTCAGCATATGTCACATTCACAGTCACAGGTGAAACAACAAACTCGGTGGGAGTAGTAATATGATGTGAGAAGGTCATTCAATTCTCCTTTGGCCCTTGCCCTCCCAAAGCAGTACATTGTGTTCAAGTTTAAAGGAGGGAGTAGGAGCTGCAGGTCTCTGACCTCCTGGAGGCCAGTGAGGTCTGATGCAATTGAGTTTTTAAGGTTTGTTTTTTTTTAATCCAACCATGTCTGTATTCTAATATCAGAACTATACTAGAAATCGCCACTTTCTAGTCATAGTAAAAGTATCTGCACCCGAAATTTCTGCCCCGCATTGAACTGGCAAAGTGTCACCTAAAACAAGTGTTTTCTTTCCATAGTTACATAAAGAACATTTGTTCTTAAATCATTCTCTAGTATAATTCAGTAGTTGGAAACTAACCTTGGCAATCTAGCTTTTAAGTGCTTTCTCTGCTCTTCTTTTCCTAGTTACTAAGTGAAGCTTTAAAAATTGAAACCCCTTAAAGTTACCTTCCTAAGGCTGACATTGCATCAGCGGTTTCCAGCCTGTAATTCCCCAGACCCCAGGAGGAACCACGGATCTATTGCAAAGAGGCCATAAATTGTCTGTGATCGCAAATGGTACATCTCAACCTATGGTATTATTTTTGTTTGATGTAGATACTGTTAGGATGTCAGCAACACATATTCATTTAAATGTGCTATTGAATTCATAGTAGCATTGGCATTATTTTCTTTTTTAAAAAATATATTTAATTGATTTTTTACAGAGAGGAAGGGAGAGGGATAGAGAGTCAGAAACATCGATGAGAGAGAAACATTGATCAGCTGCCTCCTGCACACCCCCCATTGGGGATGTGCCCGCAACCAAGGTATATGCCCTTGACCGTAATCGAACCTGGGACCCTTCAGTCCGCAGGCCGACGCTCTATCCACTGAGCCAAACCAGTTAGGGCAGGCATTATTTTCTTAATCAATGAATATTAATCCTAAATAATTATTCATTAATAATAATATTAATGAATAATTATCACCATATCATAATTCAGGAAAAGGTTTAATTAAAGGGTTCTATTTACATAAAAAATGATGGGCCCTAGCTGGTTTGGCTCAGTGGATAGAGCATTGGCCTGTGGACTGAAGGGTTCCAGGTTCGATTCTGGTCAAGGGCACATGCCTGGGTTGCGGGCTCCATCCCCAGTAGGGGGTGTGCAGGAGGCAGCCGATCAATGATTCTCTCTCATCATTGATGTTTCTATCTCTCTCTCCCTCTCCCTTCCTCTCTGAAATCAATAAAACTATATACTTTTTTAAAATGATGGGACCCACTATCCCACACAAATACCTCACTACAAATATTGAAGGATTACAGGACTGATTCACTCCCACCTAATTATATTTGTCAGCTCACACCTGGTTTCTCGGGAGCAATTAGAATTTATCTCTGAAAATGCACTTGTAACACATCTCATCCTAATTTTTAATTAAGTATATATGATTATCTCTGCCTTTGAGAGTATACAAGTGGCAGGAAATATGCAAGTGCTACCCCTGACTACCCATTAGATAAATCTAGTGAGACTTCATTGAAGAGGACAGATCTGCTGGTCATCATAATTCAGCTCTATTTGCTGCCTAGGAAGTGTCAACACTCTGTGTACACATAATAGTTCATTTTTTGTGTCAACTTGAATGGGCCATGGAGTGCCCAGATATTTGGTAAAACATTCTGGGTGTGTCCAGGAGGGTGTTTCTGGATGAGATTAATATGTGAATTGATTGACTGAGTAAACAGATTGCCCTCCCCCCGGCAGGTGGACCTCGTCCAATCCACTGAGGGCCTGAATGGAACAAAAAAGGTCGAGCAGGGAGAATCATGTTGCCTGACTGACTGAGTTGGGAGGTCTGTCCTCCCCTGCACTCTGGCTGGAACATATACTCCTGCTCTCCTGGGCCTCCAACTGGCAGAGGGCAGATCCTAGGCCAGCCGTGGGCAAACTACGGCCCGCGGGCCGGATCCGGCCCGTTTGAAATGAATAAAACTAAAAAAAAAAAAGACTGTACCCTTTTATGTAATGATGTTTACTTTGAATTTATATTAGTTCACACAAACACTCCATCCATGCTTTTGTTCCGGTCCTCTGGTCCAGTTTAAGAACCCATTGTGGCCCTCGAGTCAAAAAGTTTGCCCACCCCTGTCCTAGGCCCTCTCAGCCTCCATAATCATATAAGCCAATTCCTTATAATAAACATTATATATTTATACCTACAGCGTATTGGTTCTGCTTCTCTGAAGAACTCTTGTACCTCTCTGGAACTTCAGGGTTCAGATCAGAAATGCATGTGTTGTGGGGTGAGATGGGATGGGGGAAGAAGTCCCCGGATTGTCCGTGCACCCCCTCCATTTGTTACCACATAATTCCTGGGACATGCTCCCTAGGAGGACTGGGAATCTGGAGGGGAAGGGAGACATTACCTTGTGGAATCTTATAGATGACTTCTCCAGGCTTCCTGAGCTGGCGCAATAGATAGTCACTATGAATGTTGATTCCCATTCCCAAAACAAATAAGCCAACACCTAGGCAAAGAAGAGAGAGGGAAGTGAAAACTGTGTCCTGATTTTGATGTTTTTCGCACAAGCCAAGTTTTTTTCTGAAAATGAAGGAAAGGGCATTTAATTTCGAATTCTAAGAATAGTACTAAGATACGCCTCACCCCACCCCCAAGAGGGACAGAGTTGTCGCCACACGAGCACACGGAGATCTTTTTTGCTTCTGTTTGTTTTCCTTTGTTGTTTTTGTGGTTCCAGCATACTCCATTGTGCACACATTTCAGCATTCGTACAACTGATCCTCTGGTTGTTTGTACTCTCAAACATTCACTCTGGCCGCTGTGTGGACAAGGGGTTACTGTAGGCCAGTTTAGTTTGAAGGTCACTGTGGCTTGGACCAGGGTGAAGTAAGCACCCCTGTCACGTTTTGGAGCTACAGGCGGCAGCACTAAGCTGGTGGCTAGAATGTGCTACGTGATGTAGAGAGGAACTGAAGGCAATCCCTAGATTTTGGGTCTGAGCCATAATAACATATAAATAGTTGAACCTTCCTGGACTTTAATTCCTCTTGCAGGTAATGAAACAATTTCAATAATTAGCATTTTCTACAATTTTATAAATAGCTGGTCAGGGAAAGTCTGTTAGAGGAGGCGTAGATTGATAAAGACCTAAATAAAGTGAGGGACCAAGCTTCATGAACATATAGGATCAGAGTATTCCAGGCAGAGGGAGTGGTCTGCACAGAAAAGCTCTGAAGCAGCACCAGCCTGACCATTTAAGGCTCAGCAGGAAGGCCACTGAGGCCACAGCACAGCAATGAGGTGGACAGAGGCTGGAAATGAGGTCGGGAAATGGGGCTGAACCAAGGACACATGGGTTTCATGGGCCGTGGTAAGGAATTTGCATTTTATCCTGAAGCCATCGGAGAGTTCTGAGCTGAGGAATGAATGACATGATGTTTTTCAAAGCTCTCTCAGGTTGCTATAGAGAGAAAATATGAGGGTAAGGGTGAGAGGAGGGGAGAATGGAATCATTGAGGGGTTACTGTGAGGGGGGGGGCAGAGGTGATGGTGAGTTAGACGGTGGAGAGCCGTGTTGGGTGAAAAGTGGTCAGATGTACTTACCCAGGATAAACCGTATGTCTGTGTACCACTCGGCAGGGTACTCAGTGCAGTGAGTCAGGTAGTAGCCTTGCAGGAGTCCGTTTCCCGTACAGAAGACAAAGCCTCTGAAAAGCACCGCGACTGGAAAAGGCCTCCCTCTCATGAGGAAGGGGTAAACCAACGTCCTGGGGCAGATGGGGAGAAAGGTCGGGAGCCCTTGTTAAAAATATATATATATATATATATATCAACAAGAGGAAAGGGTTTCAAACAGATCATCACATCAAACCTATTTTTAAAAAAAAACATTTTTCCTTAAATTTCCTTCCCTTGCCACCCACATGTTCCCCCTGCCTCCTCCCTCCCTCACTCCCTCAGCACCCTGTCGTCGCCTGCCATGTTTCGTGCCGCCCCCTGGTGGTCAACGCACACCATAGCGAGTAATCAAACTCATTTCCTGATCAAACGCCTGAGGGGACACTTTGCATATTTGCCTTTTATATATATATAGATATATCAACAAGAGGAAAGGGTTTCAAGCAGATCATCACATCAAACCTATTTTTTTTAAAAAACATTTTTCCTTAAATTTGTGCAACAAAAGAACGTGATCTGGCCCTAAAACATGTATTTATGATATTGTTTGTCTTGTTTCATTAAAAGCCATTGTAGTCACCATTTATTATCTTATTTTATTCTTACAACCATCTTCAAAGGTAAATGCCATGCCCATATAGCAGTTAGTAAATTTAATCCTAGGAGCCCAGGATTGGATGCTGATGCTTTCGGTAAATCAAGAAGAAAATCCAGATGATATGGGAAGAAAGGTACAGTCTGGCTTACCCCATCTGCCAGTGGAATGGCATTTTGATAGCAGCCACCTGACCGTATGGCTTTCCATAATGTCTTTCTTATGTGATTTCATTACTGATATTATAGCATCCCCTATAAAGGGGCTACAGAATCCCTTGAGCAAGTAGAAACGTCTCTAAATGTTAAGAATTATGGATCTAGAGGAATCTAGGAAGAAGCACTTAAAAATATAAATAACCTCAAAATAAAACATTGCCCAAGGTGTGCTAAATCCTATACGTCAAACTACATCCTCTTCATAATTTTTCTTCTCTATGGTGCAATACAACAGGAAAGCTCATAAACCTATATGAATAGTTTAATGAATCACTATCAAATAAATGCACACATAGTCACTAAGTCAAGAAATAGAACAGTCATCACCCAAAAAGCCTCCCATGGGTCCCTCTCTGTTCACAGTACCATCATCACCCCAGAGGTAACCACCATCCTGATTTTTATAATAATCATTTCCTTTTGCCCCTGTGTAATTTTACCACATTTGTATACATTCCTAAAAAAGATAATTTATTTTGCTCATTCTTAATTCCATATAAAGTGAACCAGACTCTATGATGTTTAGCGTATTATTTAATGCCTTGTTTATTTAACTCATCATTATGTTTCTGAGACTCAAACATATTGCTGTGTATAGCTATACTTCATTTATTTTTATTGTTACATATTATTCTCATGTAAGAATATACCACATGGGTTTATCTGTTTTGCTTTGATGAATATTTTTGTTGTTTCTAGAATGTATCCACTCAAACACAATTTTGTTATAACTCAAATTTTCCCATTAATTTAATAATATTTATGTTTAAAATTTTGATACATCTGGAGTTATTTTGTTGTAAGAAGTTCAGTAAGAATCTAACTTGCCCTGGCCAGTGTGGCTCAGATGGTTGGGCATCTTCCTGTGCACCAAAAGGTCGCCGGTTTGATACCCAGTCAAGGGCATGCAGGAGACAGCTCTCACATCAATGTTTCTCTCTCTCTCTCTCTCTCTCTCTCTCTCTTTCTCTCTCTCTCTCTCTCTCTCTCTCTCTCTCTCTCTTTCTCAAAATCAATTTTAAAAATCTTTAAAAGAAAAAAAGAATCCAACTTACTTTTTTCCTAGTAAATTTACTAAATATCTCTTTCTCAGTGGCATGCATTGCCCCCAACTAAGCCCAAAGACAAAGTCCTTGCCTTTCGAAAACCCAAGATACAGTGCATGTAGCCATGCTTTCAAATTAAACCATGCATCCTCCCATCCCTATCCTCTGGAGCTCCTAAGTCTGAATGCAAAGTCAATATTATCGCATCTCAACCAAAGGAGTATGTATCAATCGCAGGCTCACCACTATAATAAACAATTCCAAAGTCTCAGAGATCCCACATGTAAAAGCTCATTTCTTGCTCAGGCCACTGTGCAAACCTGCAACCCGGAGCCAGGTTCTTCCAGCGCATCTTCCTCCTCCAGGCAGCAGACAAGGGAGGGAGAGAGCATGGATGACTGTAAAGGTTATCCAAAGGGCCAGGCTGCAGGCTGGCAGTGGTGTCCATTACTCCCATCCTCACTGCTTTGGCTCCACCAAACTACAGGGGAGCCTGGGAAATGTGGCCTAGCTGGGGAGCTCCCAGTAGGCGAAGGAAAGGAGGTTGGTAAACACAGCACCAGCAAAAGGCTCTGGAGAGGCAGGAGTCCTGGAGAACAAATACAGTTCTTCTGATCCAAATCATTTTGATGTCGGAAAACTGGAAGCAGTTCAAAATAAACGTTTCCATGTAGAAAGCAATAAAAACAATGATGAGGAAGGGGGGAAGAGTCAAGCAACCCAAGAGGCTGAAATTAATGCTGTGGAGGGTTGCAGATGAGTTTCACCTTCAGATCCCATGTCCCACACAAGGCCTGGGACTCAGTATCCCTGATTTGAGAGCACTTCACTTTATTTCCCCCTTACATTTCCCATGTAAGTTTTCATTCTTTTGTGTTTGTTCTGATGCATGATACTGATAAGTACTCTGTAAATATAAAATTTTCTATCACTGCTAAGTAAATATTCATTTGGGGGGACTCTTATTGGAAAGGGTTAACCGAAATTGCAAATCCAATTTAAACCAAAGAAATAACCTTTAAAATTATACATCTTGCATAGACTAACTCATATTCAACTAAGTCTTGTTCAAATATAAATGCTATTGCTAAGATTACCAAGCTTATTGAAGACTTTTCACTATATGAAATTTTAGACTTTATTGTCAATCAAAATAAATTCAAGTTCTATATCTAAATACTAGGTTTCTATACATATATTTACTTGCTATATACTCCTTCCTCAGCCCCATCTCCCCTTTAAACCACCACCTCTTTTTTCTTTACAGCAAAACACCCCCAAATAGTTGTCCATATTCACCATCTGTCCTCTCCTCTTCTTTCCTCCCTTCCTCCCCTGTATAGAAACTCATCTTGGCAAGACCACCAGAGACTTCCACATTTCCTAATCCAACAGCCGATTTTCAGCTCTCTTATTTGACAAGGTAATCATTCCATCCTCTGGAAACACTTCCTTCATTCAGCTCCCAGCACAACACTTTCCCTTGGTTCTTCTCCTACGTCACTCATTTCTCTTCGTTTCTCTTTGCTGGTTTCTCTTCACCCCCTTGGCTTCTAAATATTGGCATGCCCCAGGGCTCAGGGCTCTTTTCTTCTTTATTCATAGTCACCATGTATGTAATCACATCTAGTATCAGATCTTTAAATATCATCAATAGAATGACCACTCCCAAATTTATGTCTCCAGACAGGATGGCTGTAGTCCTTGAACTCAGACTCATATGACCAACTTCCTCTTAGACATCCAGTTTAAAGACATCCTGGTCTCTATCAAACAACCAGGAAAAGGAGCAATCCAGCATGATGAAACTTTTAAGAAAACAGCTGCTCTACTACAGTCAAGCGCCACAAAAAAAAAAAAAACTGTGGCCCTACCCCCCACACACACCAGCAAAAGTTGATATGGAGCCTAATAAATAAGAACTACAAATTACTTCAGTAATGTTGTAGGAAATATGTCCCATGTTCATAAATCAGAATACTTAATATTGTTAAACTGTACATAATAGCCAAAGGCATCTGTAAATTCAATACAATCCCTATCAAAATTCCAATGGTATTTTTCATAGAAATAGAAAAAGCAATCCAAAATTTGTATAAAACTACAAAATGCCCTGAAGAGCCGAAGAAATTCTAAGAAATAAGAACAAAGTTGGAGGCATCACACTTCCTTATTTCAGACTATATTACAAAGTCATAGTAATAAAAAAAATAGTATGGTACTGGCATAAAAACAGATACATAAACCAATGGAACAGAATCAAGAACCCAGAAATAAACTCACACATATACAGTCAACTAATATTAGATAAGGGATCCAAGAATACTCAAAGAGGAAAATATCGTCTCTTCAATAAATGGTTTAGGAAAATTGGATATCCACATCCAAAAGTATGATACTGGACCCCTATCTTACACCACTTACAAAATTTAACTCAAAATGGATTAAAGACTTAAATGTAAAAATCAGTACCTTAAAACTTCCAGAAGAGCCCTGGCCAATGTGGCTCAGTTGCTTGGACACCAAAAGGTTGAGGGTTTGATTCCTGGTCAGGGCACATACCTAGGTTGCAGGTTTGATCCCCTGTCAAGGCGAGTACAGGAGGCAACCAACCAATGTTTGTCTCTCTCCCTCTCTCTCTCTCTCCTTCTCCCTTCCTCTCTAAGATCCATTTTTAAAAACTTAGTGGTCAAAAACACCAGTAAACATGTATTTTCACTCACAGTTCCTATGTGTCAGGAATTCAGGAGTGACTTGGCTCAGAGTTCCTCATGTGATCACAAGTAAGGTGCTGGCTAGACCAGCAATCATCTGAAGGCTTGACTAGGGCTAGGGGAACTGCTTCTAAGATGGCTCACTCATATGGCTGGACATTTGGTGCCAGCAGTGGGCAGGAGGCCTCATCTTCTCCTCACGTGGGCTTTATCCATGTTGGGTTTAACCAAGGGCACTTGGGTATCCTCATGACATGGTTGCAGGCTTCCCCCCAAATAAGCAATCCAAGAGAGAATGCCAACAAAATCTATGTTTTTTATGATTTCATCTCAAAAGTCACACACCATCACTTTGCCACATTGTATTTGTTACAAGCAAATCACAAATTCTGGCTCCCATTCAAAGAGAGGGAAATTGGGTACCATCTTTTCAAGGAAGTCCTAACAAAAAAGAATTGTGGACATATTTTTAAACAACCAAATGACCTTAGCAGTTTAACTTCTCTGGACCTCGGTTTCCCATTGATAAAAGGATAACAACAATAATGGTACCAACCTCAGAAGGTTGTTGAAAGAATTAAATGGTATAACTGAATGCAAGTGGCACATATTAGAACTTAATCACTAAGTGTTTCTTTTTTTCTCCAACCAGGAAATATGTCATTAGAGTTTCTCTGTAGGAAGCCTAGAGTCGGCCTCATACCTACATAGTAAAGCTGGCCTTTGTAGCCTAGTCTTTGTGTCTGCTCACATCATATCCCCTGCGGGGCCCTCTCCTCCTGCTTCCCTCTTTCTCCTACTTTCTCAGGATCCCAGTCATGCATGACATAGACATGTATGTTCACACCCTAAACAGTTTCTTTTTCCTGGAAATTTCCCAGTCTTCAAATCGTTCTAGTTCTTTTCTAAAAACCTACCACTCATTTTTCCCAATCCTTCAGGATGTTCTACCTAAGGATTGTCTTCTAAGTGATAGCTAAAACCTCTGGCCAATAAGATTTCAAAAGTGGAGTTAGCACCTGTTGTGGATACATCTGCAACTGATCTTAGGAGACTAG